GGATAAATTTAAGATAGCTAAATTTCGAAAAAAAATAATACAAACCGAAATAGAACACATACAAATCAAATAATATGCATTATTATAAAAGTTTCAACTTAAAATAAATCGAAATACCATTTAGAATTTTCGGAAAGCAAATAGATCGAAATTTTGACTCCGAAAGCGTGAATCAACAATAACAAGAAGCTCTACTCGAGTGTGGGACCTACGTTCTTCAAGTTTTATGTGCCGGGGGGACCCAAATTTTTTTTTTTTTTTTTATAGTGGCGGACAGTTTTTGGACAGTGGGGGGACCAAGATAGAGGAGTAAAATAATGCTGAAGAAGAAGACGGGTGAAGAAGATGGAGGTTTTTTTATTGAGGGGTATAACGCCAGGTTTTCTGGCGCTATATCAGTGTGTCAGTATAACGCCAAAAAACCAGACGCTATATATTAACGGTGCAGTTACCGTTATTATATAACGCCAGGTTTTCTGGCGTTATACATAATATGGTAACTTTTTTTTTTACACCTATTTGTGTATTTTGAGTCCAAAATAATAACATTTTGGTTCCTGACTCTAAAAATCCCTGGGATCTAACAATGTGTGAAAATGGTGAAAACTCACGGAGCGTCAGTAATGTAACAGAGTATGATTTATGATTGATTGACGTACGCGCTTTTAAAGAAAAAACGTTTATTTATTTATTTATATCAATCAATTCAAAGATTCCTTATTAAATACATGGCCACTAACAGTTGAAACTTCTTCTCCCTCTCTCGATTTGATCCAAACCCCTCTGGCCATTCTTCTGCTTCCTTTGATTTGGTAAGTCACTCACTCCCTTAAATATTTTCTCTTCTTTATTGAATATTTGCTCTTTTAAATCTTTCTTTATCCCCAATAAATTGTTGTTATTGTAGTATTTACGAATTTGTTGCTGTCTCCTTTGGATCTTACATTTTGACCCTAATTCTTATTGGTTTCTTGTTTGTCTAAGTCGATTCAAAAACCCTAATCCTTTTTCGTAATGACTTTTTCATGATAAGATGTGAATCGTGGATTGGGTTTGCAGTGCATAGAGGCGGATCCAGAACTTGAACTTTATCGGTTCTACGGATTTGATTTATTTGATTCAAAGTCAATTAGGTGTACTTATTTAGTGAATTCTAGTATACTCCCTCCATTTCATTTTATGTGTCTTAGTTTACCGGGCACGTCGTTTGAGAGAAGTAAGAAAGAATTTTGAATCTAGTGGTCTTAAACAAAAGATGTGTTTAATGTACCAAAATTTCCTTGAATCTTGTGGTTAATTATGTCATATGGAATGTTGGAGTTAAAGAGTTACTAAATATAGAAAGAGGCTAAAAGGGAAAGTAACTCCCATAATTTGAAACAGATGGTACACCAAAGTTATTGGGTTCATCTTAACCTCGTAACTAACACCCTACATCCCATTACGTTGTGTCTGCTCTCACTGTAGTTCTTGTGTCTTTTATTTTTATTTTATTTTTCTTATAACGGAGAAATTCCCGGGGCCAGTGGCGCACGGGTCGAAACTAGATGAATGATTGGTGTGCCCCTCTATTGGGTCGAAACTCTTGGTTTGCAGCAGGGTTCAAACCGGTGACGTGTGCCTAACCCACACATCATGTGCTGCACTTTTACCACTTGATTGAAGCCCACTAGATTGAAGCCGGGGGCCTTGTGCCTTTAATTATTACAAGTTGATTGGCATTCCTATCTCTTTCCAATGTGATTGTGGCTCGCGAGTTCTCGTGATCTTGACTGTTAACTCACTAGAAAAAGAAAGAGAAAAAGTGGCTTGTAAACTTCATTTCGTCTTCCAAATTGTCTCTTATCCAAGTGACGTAACCATTTCAATCTAACTAGTTGAAATCGATTGAAACATTTTTCTTTTGAATCCAGATTAGTCCATTTAATACTAGGATGTTACTAGGCTTGACTATTATCTCTAGTAGTAACTAATAATACGGAGTTATTGTTTTGTTCACTGTGATTATTACTCCTTATAACCCAAATCAGGCATACTCATTGTGTCCAGTTTTCTGTTAAAAAGAGCTTCTCACCTATATCTTTCAATACCTATTTTTTGTGTCCGTATAATCAAAAATGTATTGTGAAGCCTACTAATATATCAAAGAAAAAGATCAAATTTCTTCAAAATATTAACTCTATATTGACTTCTAGACTAAATTCTATTTGAATTTAGTTAACTTTTTTTCCAAAACAAAGAGAACAATTTAATTGGAAAGAGAGAGTTCTTGTTAGAGAGTGAACTGGGTAATTAAACAAAAAAACACTTACATGCATATGCGTCAATTTTTGTATTTATGCATGTCCACATTCATAGATATGGTATTTTAACATTGCTAGTTGCAGCAGTGACTCTGACTGGCACTTGAGCTTGATCTAAATCATTGCCGAGAACTTCATGTCCTTGTTGCATGTAATGATGCATTTTGACTTATTCTACTCCTTTCCTTTTTCTGTTCTGGAGGAGGGATCTGATTCTCTTTGAGTTTTCATTAGTCTTTATGATATTCTACGTTTTGATATCAGTCAACCGACTATGTTTTAATCCCAAATTAGTGGGGCCGGCTATTTAAATCTTTTATATCCAATTCTGCTCTATTTTGGACTGATATTGTACTCCTGGTAGAAGATTAAAATGGTGGCTAGAAATGCAGGCCCTTCTCCATTGGATGCCTTTTTGATTTATTATGTCCACAAATGGTTAGGCCTGAAATACGTGAAGCCTCTAGACGCGTGAGGAAACTAGCGAAGATTTTACTACCATTGGAGGATTGGTTAGCCTTGTTTGTGTTTGTGTATGTAATGACCCAGTTTTAAATTATTGAATTATTGGATAAACATTGCAACTACAAATTCATAACTTACAGAAATTATGATGTCCTACTACATAAGTCTCACACAGTAACTGAACGGAGATATGGTTACAAATCAACTAAGACAAACATGAAAATCTTCAATTACACACTTTAACCTTCCACTGCTTCTTTGGTCGTGAAGATCAAAATTTGAAGCATGAGCGGTTGTGCTATTATCCTCTGTTGTGGTTTTGACTCGAGATCAGGGGTTGTTTTGTTCTTTCAGTGATGCATTAGGGATCATGTGAGCAGAAAATGTTTTCCGCATGTGTTTTACGCATCTCCGAGATGACCATTTGCAGAGAAATGTCATTTCAGGAATCACAAACAAAGGAATTGAATTTGGAAAAATGTCTCACATGTCTCATGTTTCTTCACATACATCCCTCTTTCATGAGAACGATATGTTTAAAGTCTAGTGAATGATTTATCCCTTTCCTCCTCTCTACCAAAAAGCTAGTTCCAGACTACATTAGTGAGATTCTGTTTGAAGAATGATCTCTGACTCTATGTATATTGTTTTAAATGGGAGGTTTATATTGAAATGTTCATTTCGGGTAAGCCTTTTATTTTTCCTTGCAATTGCAGTTGTTGTAAACTAGGTCAGTAGAAGTATGTCAGAGATGGAGGATGTCAAAGACCAAATAGATGGAGCAGAAAAGCCAATGCCATCAACCAAACAGGAAGTTGTGTTCACTTCAAGATTTTTGCTTACCATGTTATATTTAAGTTATGGTACAAAGATTTTGACATATATATTTACCATTTGTTATTATAGGAGGAAGTTGTTAAAAAGAAATACGGAGGAATTATGCCAAAGAAACCACCTCTTATCTCTAAGGTAATGAACCCAATGGCATTACTGTCTCTACACTGCTTGTGATTGCTTGTGCTGTGAACTTCCAATGTCGTGGTCAACTTCTGTCTGTTTTAATTAACCCTTGTTGGTTGTCAGGATCATGAACGTGCTTATTTTGATTCTGCTGATTGGGCTCTTGGAAAGGTACTGTTCCTCTCTGTAGTCGCACAATTTCATTGTAGTTGACTCTTCTTTGTCCATACCTTTATTATGGTGATCTCCCAAGCCTTAATGATTGTTGATGATCACAGCAAGGTGTAGCGAAGCCTAAAGGTCCACTCGAGGCACTTCGGCCAAAGTTGCAGGTATCATGTCAATTCCATGCCGTTTCTTTTTGCCTAGAACTGCTTTTGTTAATCGTTCTCTAGTCCTTTCTGCTGCAAAGCACATTAGAGCTTGCAAAGCACTTTGTTTGTATTAATTTTACTCTATTTTGTTTTTATTTTGTGTGGGTAAATGTGGGTTGTTAAGGAAGCGCCAGATGTACCCTTGGGCTGATGTATTTCGTTCTTATTTTGACTCAACAATGATATATATTCTTTATTCCTTTTTTTTTGTTTTTTTTTTTATTGTGGGTGGGTGGGGG